TAGGCAGTACATCTGTTAAGTCTTGCCAGTTGTCCTTTCTGTGTGTTGCATAGTTACTCTGTTTAGTCTTTATTTTTCTTCCCAGAGACATTAATAAAACTGCAGTTTTATTTAGGTGATGTTCTGTGTGCCCAAACATGTTAGGATGTCTTTTAATTCACTGGTTAAAGGATTTCGTGAGTACACAGAAAATAAGTCAGTGGGCAGATGGAGTGAGAAAGCAACTTACTGATTAATGTTTTCCTAAGCACAGGTATTACTGTAAGCTTCAGAAAGGAAGGCAGGCAAACTGTATTCCTCAGGAAGTCAGAATAACTGACTTTCAGAAATCTTTTTTTTTTTAACAGTCTCTGAATGGGAAACTCTAACATTCTGTTCAGCATTTTTAGTTAATTGATTTCTATATTCACTTTAATTTTCCACCAGTTTGCTTTCATTAGCAAACGGTTTTCACAGATGGATGTGTGAAACAGATGAAGGTGGGACTCAGAGCTATAGATGTATCTAGGATAGTAAGTTGAATACTAAATCCATCTGACATTTGTTCTAAGGTTTGTCAAAGGGACTTTGTCCTTAACTTTTAATTTACAGCCTGCCTTGCCAATTTTCGAACACAGTTGCAGTTCATTAAAATCTGCTGGGTTAACAGGCTAGTGCATTGATTTCCTTAGCACACGTGACTTTATTTCCTCCTGCAAGAACTGCTTAGCTCATTGCTTTGCTGTTTCTAAGATGAAGTGTTTGGATCCCACATAGTTAGCACATGCTGTATTGTGTTTCCTACAAGCTGATATGCATTAAAACCTTCTCAGTTCTCTTTGTCTGGACTTCTTGGCTGCATCATATCCAAGATCAGTTAATTAAACTCTGAACTAAAAAGTGTGTCTTCATTTTGTTGTAATCATTGCTGGAATTAAAATGGAATTGAAGTACTGACTAAAGATGAGTTGATATTAATAAAGGAATTTGTGATTGAATTTTCTTGTCCTATGCTTGACATTGGGATGCTGCTTGATTTTGAGTAGCATGTTTGATTTTTTCTTTCCCCCTCCCTATTTTTTTATGATTATGTAAGATTAAGGATGTTTTAAGCTTTCCATTTTGGTCTATGTTTGTGAGGGTTAATGCTGTTCAAATACATGTTCAAATACATGTTTTAATGTTCGTCTTTAACAGTTAAAACAGCTGTAAGATTATAAAGCATGTTGGAGTTGATGGAATAAGTCGTAATGTGAGCTTGTGAGTGATCACTGAAGTATCTGTTAGCCTAAAGCTGGTCTAGCTTCCAGTTTGAAGTGGGATTAACACCAGCTCTAGGTCAGGTGATCTTGGCTTCATTTGCTAAATCCTTGAATCCTCATTCAGCCTCCTTTCTCAACTCCCCATGTGAGCTAATTCCAGTTGGTCTCAGAATGTCCTAATGAAATCCACATGGTTGAGGATAGTGTAAAAATATGGTGCTGTTGTTTATGATAGCTCTAGATTTTCAGCAAATCACAGAATGGTTTGGGTTGAAAGGGAGATTAAAAGACCATCTAGTTCTTCATGCCTTCTCACTATTCCTAGAATCATACAATTTATTTTCCTACTCCAGCCTGGCCTTGAACACTCCCAGAAGTGGGGTACCTACAGCTTCTCAGTTGCAGACCGAAGTTTGCCTCCTTGCTGCTTCACCCTGTCAGTAATTATCACTGTCCTTAAAGACTACAAAAGGTTTCAGACTCCAAAGCTAGACCTGAGCTAGATGTGCTCACAGGCAGAACCTGTGTCTATCCACCATACACACAGACCTGCCTTCTGTACATAGCCTCATTCCAGGCCAGGCTTTGGGTTAATCTCAAAGAAATTGCAGATTGGCACCCAAAGCAAGAAGAATGAGGACCGTAACACAATCTGAGATGGAAAGCTGAGTGTCATCTTCATGGCGATCTGGAGTTTGCATGCAGACTTCTTATCAGAACCCTGCCTGTGGAGTCCTGGGACTCCAGCCCTACCAGCATAACCAGATTTAAGGATGCACTTGGTATTAATCTGGATCAGCTACTGAGCTCTCTGTGTATAAACTCATGGATATCGTGCTTTTGAAGGTAGAAAATGCACGATGCTGTAAAAATTTGAAGTTTTATTGTGATTTCAAGTGTTTCTAGAAACAAACAAAAGCAAACAAACTTCTGATTTATTGCAGAAGTGGAAAGGAGCAGAGTGTTAATGATTGTATGCAAAACCTATACAGTGAAAGGTTAAAAGCCAAAAAAGTGCATATGTAAATATGTTTAATGAGTACAGTTGCTGATAGCAAATGCTGACTGTATATGACATATCCTGTATTAATAGAATACATGTATATACACATTTATATAAGACTGAAAAGGCACTAGAGTTTCCCAAATAAAACACAAGTAAATGAACAGTGTCAATCCAAACACTGAGGTTGGGGAATCAGGGAGTTGTGCTGGAAGTTTTGAAAAATTGTATGGGAAGTTAGAAACTAGGTTCCCACTGAAAGTCAGGGAGTTCAAAAGTCCGGCTCCCATTTGTGTCTTCAAAATCTCCTTTAATATACTGATCAGATGCCAAATAATGTATGTAGTATGAGATTAATGAGTCTATAAAGGAATGTACCGTACTGCAGCAAAGTACATAACATTAAGCTTCTTATGGAGCTGAAGAGCTTACTATAAAATCTGGCATTCCTGTTCATGCTATTCTTAAATTGTAGCAATAAATGGGTTCTTGTAATACTGAGAATCTAAATACGCTCCTGTGCAAGTTTGCCCAAGAAATCTTGGAGCTATTTGGAGGGAAGGTGCCATCAGAATAAGGAGTAAGGTAGGGTGGGCAAAGCTGGTAGTCAACCTTTTATCTGCTTTTGCTAGAATGACATTTCTATTTTAATTTGACTGAAACATTTACAGCTTAAAAAAAAAAGGCATTTTATTAATCTCTTGAAAAAATTTACAGGATAATAATATGATATGAAGGGGACTTGATAAAACAAAGGTATAATAGTATATGTGCATGTGGAAAAAAAACGTGTAGAAAAAAGTAGTAGAACTATCTTATGGGTGGGTGTGTTTTTCAATGATTTTTAGCTTTTGTGATTTTACTGCCTTACCTATGGAGTGTAGGCTGTGTGAGATGCGTGTAGGTGGTTTTTCAGGTCACAATTTTAGCAGTTGTAAGAAATGCTGAGTATGTTTATATAACATTTATTTACATAGGAAATAAGAACAACAACCAGCAGTGTTCAAACAACTGCAATGACTGTGTCACACACCTGATGGTAGAGTGACAGAACAGGCAGGCCAGGGCAGGTGTCACATAAGAAGATTCACTCTCCTTTTGGAGACCAACTGCTTTGGTCTGAGGCTTAGAGTAGCTCCACCTGCAAAACACAAGGATATCTGCTGTGCAGGCAGTAATGAATTCTGTAATTGTGTGCCAAAGAGTGTGTGTGTGTTTTTAAAGTCTGGTGAATGCAAATCCCCAGGTAGCTTTGTGAACACAGGTGTATATTGTGTAGCAGCAGAACAACTGAATGATCACAATTCTGAGACACCTTTGGTGCTGCTGGTGTTGTAAATGTCCCTGATTCCATTTAACTGATTCTTGTTATTCTGAACTATTTTATCACATCTGTATTACAGATTCTGCCTTATTCCCTATGGAGTGTATTCACACTGACTGGCTGCTCTGCAGATGGTGTGCTGGAGAGTTGAGACTGAAGTCAAGTCAGTGCTAGCTGCCTCCAGCTCCAGCTGTGTCCCCTAGCTCTGCCTTGGAAGGCGTGGCTCTGAGGGCATATTGGGCTGCAGGATGCTGGGAGACAATGTAGCATGAAAGCAGATGGTGTTGTGCCTGTGTCTGCAGTGGAGCTGCTGTCTTACGGTAGAAGCTGTTTTCTTACTTCATTCCAAACATTTTGGCATGGTATCTCTTGTAAAGTCCTTATTACTGCTTTGTCAGCTGTTGAGCACCTTTCTATTATGCTTTTACTGCAAACAGATGAACCTGGATTTTCCTGGAAGCGAGTACAACTACTGCTGGCATTGCAGGCTGCAACAGGTTTTCAGGCTTATACAGGCAGGTAATGCCCAGACTATATCAGAGGAAAGAGGCTTCTCCTGAAGTGGTTTGGGTTTTTTTTCATAGACAACAGATTGTCTTGACTGGATCATTTTGTAGAAAAACCCATTCTCAGGAAACTCAAGAGCAAAACTACCAGTGACTCAAATAAGCAGATCCAAGGAGAGTTCCTGTGTTTCCCAGAGGATTTGGTCAGCATTACAGGAAGTCTGGCTTTTGTTCATTCCTTGTTGAATGTACATTGCAATCATATTTTAAAAACTTAGTCAAGACAGTTATTTCTGTGTTTTAAATATTGTTAAGATAAAGCACAAGTCTGAAAGTATTGCTACATGGACCTGTCAGTGCAGTACCATTAATGAGTCATGCATTAAGCTGTGAAAAATGTAGCCATCAATAACCTTGCCAAAGTGTTTCCCAGTACTGAATATTTTGTGTTTGTAATTACCATTTCTGACCTCATCCTGCAAACATGCAAGTATTTGCATATTCTTGTGTTTATTGGTATTGAATATGGTCAGTCTGCTGAGCTGAGAGATGTATGCATGCACTCGGGTACTCAGAGAATTAGGATTTCAGGGGCACAAAATGGAGGATGCACCATATATAAGCAACTGGCAATTATAGTCACTTGTTAGTTTACAGTGGCCTGTGAGGCACAAGAAGGAACATAGCACATCTTTAAATAAGTATAAAATTTTAGATTGTATATCCTATATTTTGCTGACATGTGAAACTTCCACAATTATTTATGCCACAGATGAGTTGCCTCTAATAAAAAAAAATTAAATCCTGGAAAAAAAAATCAATCAGTCTTCCAATTAAAACAATTCTCTATTTTCTTTCTGTTAGCCTATGAGACTGTACTTTCATTTAATATCACAACACTCTGTGACTACAGAAGTTATGAATCTTTATGAAAAAATGGACCAGTATATCAAGTTAAATAGAATGTACGCCCCAGGGAATATTATCCTGGAGTACTTGTCGATGGCGTGGGTGTCAATCCGCATGCTGACGTATCTCTGGTTTTTCCTCCTGGCCGAGCCCCTCTCCGAGCCCAGCGCCAGCTGCACCATCATGCGGTCCTGCTTGTCCCCATCCTCATGGGACATGAAGTGGCCCAGCTCGTTCACATCCCCGTCGTTGTAGCTGCCATCCACCATCATGGGCCGGGGCTGAGGTAGGCTGCATGCACAGGCAGGCTGTGGGCACAGACAAGAGCAGCAAGGGTTTGAGCTGTGCCCACACGGTCACAGACATCCCTGTCCTCTTTCCATCCCATAGAGATGGGGAAAGGCCTGGGGGATTCAGGCTGCTGGGATGCAAAAGGGAGAACAAAACGGTGGAGCTGGGCTGGAGCTTTTCCCATCTCCACTTCCGTGTCTGCAAGGCAGAGGTGCAGTCAGGGGAAGAGCAGGGCTGTCTGGAAAAGCTCCTTTGGCTTAGGCACAGGTATCAGGGTGTCAATAAAAGTTGGACCTGCACATTGCAGCTGAGAAAATCAGAGGAAAACAGGGAAATCACAAGAAGGAATGTATGAAGCCTGCCCCATTTGGAGAGATCTTAGGCTGTAATCTACAGTATAAAAAAATATTCAGAGGTAAAATCCTAAGACCCATCCCATCTACACAGGCAATGTAGAGGGAGTTAGCCTGCTCAGACTCCAAAGAAAGAGAAGTGAGCTTGGGCATGGATTGCATGGATGGCAAATCTTTATAATGCGCCATGCCTCAGTGCTGGTGTTTTTACACACACTGCATTTTCCCCAAGCAGCTGAGGGCAGCACACTGCAGTTGCAAAGCTTTGGACATTTCCAGACTTTTGCCACACCTCTCCCCAGGGGCAATAACGTTGGAGATAGAAAACCTCACCTTGTCCCGCAGTTTCCTCTCCTTCCGCTCTTGCACCGTTGTCAGGTAATTCACAGCCGCGTACTCCAGCACAGAGAGGAAGACAAACACAAAACTGACCCACAGGTAAATGTCCACTGCTTTGATGTAGGAAACACGAGGCATGGAGGCATTCACCCCAGTGATGATCGTGGACATGGTCAGCACGGTGGTTATCCCTGGAAATACATCAGCAGAAGAGACCATAAGATGCTTTCAAACCAGACTCTTCATCACAAGTACAGCAGTTGCTACAATTTCCTGACATCTGAATTTACCTTGCAATATTTTTTTTTTCACTTTTGGGCAATGAGTTTCACTGCCTGAGGAGAGTCCAGGCAGATCTGATTTGTAGCTGGGGTTTTCTCCTCTATTTGGTGAGCACAGCTCTAATTCTGGTCTCAGGTGTTACTAATCTGGCTCCTCACCACGCCATCAGCCTCCCACCCTATGGCCAGGCAGTGGCACTTTGACCCTGTGCTGGCTGCACCCCATTCCAGGCTCAGGACAGTCCCTGGAGGGGTACAAGTACATGGATTTGAATTCAGTGATCCTTATGGGTCCCTTCCAAGTCAAGATATTCTATGACTACAATTCTGAGTATCTCTACTACAATCCTGAGCTTATAGTTCAAACCCTCCACAGCACAAGCGAAGCTGCTGCTTTTACCTGTTTGCCCTGTGTTTTCTGTGTGCTAGGCTTCTCCTGGGAAGTCCTGCTTCATGAGAAACCATAGGAGTCCCCAGCTGACTCTCACACCTGGTCTGTGCCTTCACTGGAGCAGAAGCAGGGAACATGGTGCCCCACAAGGCAGTGCTGCCCCACATTACACCCTGGGTAAGCACAATGAGCACCTGAGCAAGGGCAGGAGCCCCTGTAGTTCAGCATTACCCTGGCTGTGAGAGAGCCTCTCCATGGCCCTCTCATTTCAGGAGCTAATTATGTCACACTAGTGATTAGTCTGGAAGTTGAAATTATATAGATAAACACAAAGGACTGAATTAATAGGAGTATATAGGTGCTAAAAATACTGCTAAGGCACTGCCTACATCTTCTGAAAAGCCATGGCCTTATGCTTCTTTTAACCATGTCTTGAGGCAATGAGTGCTGTTTCTAAATTCAGACATGAAAAACTACTCTGTTGCCATCTCTATTTTGTCTCTCTATATTCTCTCCACTGAGGAATATGGTTTTAGGAATAAATAAAATCGCGTGTTGCCTGGAATAAGAGGAAGCAAGCTTGAGTTCAGAATCTGCAAAAAAACAATCACCACTTTGCTGAGGGCAAAGCATCCACTTTAGATGAAGATTTATGTCCATATCACAGTTCTGCTCCTATGGTGACTCCTGTGACATATGGCCTCATCTCTCAGAAAGATGCTGCAAAAGGGGAAGCTGAATCCCTCACACTGCAATGAAAACTCATTTAACACGTTAAAGTGCATGGCACAGTTCAGCTGAGTTACCTTCTACTTCCCTCCTCTAGCAAAACTCAATAAACTGAAATTTTGTCAGGGTTGCTGATAGTAATTTTCACCTTCTCGCTCACTGAAGTCTCTGAAGGATACTGACACCTGGGCTGTACACATGCCCTGTCTCTGTTTAGAGAATAAAAGCAGAGTGGGATATTTGCTCTCAGATTCATTCCAGGTGCATCTTGTGCAAACAGGGAAAGCAACTCGCCTGGCACTGCGAGGCAGGAGGAGAGTTCACAGGATGAGGGGACATATGCCCTGTCCCTGGGGCACAGAGGTATGGCACAGCTGATTTCTGTGCCTCAAGGCAAACACGGGGGCAGTGCATGGCACCAGGGATTTCACCCTGATGGTCAAGGCTTTGTCTCTTAGCTCTGCTGGCTACAAGATTGTTTTTACCTAGCGGGACTCTGGCAGGAACTGCTCGTCGGTCGATCCAGAAGGACACCCAGGACAACATGACCATAAGAGTGGCAGGGAAGTAGGTTTGGAGCAGGAAGAAGAAGATGTGTCGGCGTAAAGTGAAATTTATATAGAGGCGATTGTACCACCCTGTGAAACAGAGAATGAAAAAGAGAAGTTACACCAACATCAGACTACTTTCAGATAGGGTGGTGCTGCACTAGGGGAAAAGTGCCTAACTTTCTTTTATCAAAACACAATTATTGGCTGCAGATCATTGCAATTTACAGAAAAAACTCCATACTGAACCAATTATCAAAGTCAAAGCATCTCTTGGGCTGATATCTTCCAGAAAATGTAACCTCTGAAACAGAGAGTTTAATTCAACTTAAGACTTGAAGATCCAGACTGCATGACCATTAAGATGGAAATATATGGCAGGGACATCCAGTTTGTTAGTGAAGAGTGGCAGGTCTGGTGGGACACAGAGAGACCCTCCAGTGGACAATCCTCCATATGGCCAAGGGGGCCATAGACTCAAGACTCATAGGATCAAGAGAGACAGTTTTCACCCCTCCTTCCCCCAGCTCTGGCAGGTGCTCTGGTTGCCCACCTGTGCTGCTGTAAAAGGCAAGCTTTGTGGTGGTGTGAAACTCCTGAATCAGGAACTGGGACAACGATATCCTCTCATCTGTTTTTAGGGAATCGTTCCCATTCTTCCAGTAGAGCATAAGGTCATCTTCAGTGTAGGCATCTAGGGAAGCAGAGCAAACTCAGGACAGTGCACTGAGACAGCTGCTACCACCCCCACAGCCCAGGGTGTGCCCACATAGCCCTCCTGGAAAGCTCAAATTCCTGAATGCCACCCACCTGGGCCATGGGTATGGCTGTGGCAAGGGGTGGACTAGCTCATTGTCACAGCCCTCAGGACTGATGCCTGCTACCTTTTGTTAATCCTCCTGTTTTTCTAATCATAGTTTCACACACATTATATGTGTGTCAAGTAACCCACTGCATCAGAACTTGAAAAATTTTTCCTTGTAAACCTGATAAAATCAAAAGCAAAGAAAGAGAGCCTGAGCAGAAAGAACCTGCTTGGGGGTGACGAGAGGAACAATCCATCAATGTCTGAGGCATGCAGGAGAAAAAACTCTCAGGTCAACTTTCTGCCTATGATATACACAGGAGTATTACTTCATTTTTTAATACATGTGGAAGTAACAGTAATGTTAATCCTTTCAGATGGGTTTTGTAGCAGCTCTTTTCACATAGGGAGAAAAAAATCACATATAAATGTATTAGAACAGAATTAAGATTGTAATTTCTTATTGCAAGCTTAAGAAGGAGAAGAAAATAACTCGAAAAAGCTGAAAGTTTAAAGTGTTGCTATATGAAATCTGTCCAATTCATATGTGCACCATACTTGGGACAAAGGGCACAAGCTGGTTTTATCTGAAATAGGACTAAGAAGCGTAAGAGGAAGGCAATTAATGTCACTACCCCATCGTGGTTTCTGCACCCTGGATGAGCAGATGGTGCCATGAAGGTCATGTGGCCATTTATCCACGTGTTTGAGGCTCCTGGGCAAGCAGGAGCTGTTGGAGACTGCTGACCTGCAGGCAAGTGGCCCAGGGCCCCAAGGGGTGGGGTGGCAGAGGGGCAGCCTGGCTGGCATTCAGGGCCACTAGCAAGACAGTGCTCACAGCTGGTTTTTAAAAACATTTGTTGCAAACACCATCTAATTCTCGTGAAAAAATACAGGCAGGGAGCTTTTCTTAGCATTGAGGTCTGATGACTTTGGTTAGAGCTCCCATGAACGTAGCAGCAGTTTAATTATGGGTATAATTAATTATTGGTATTAGACAGTTTGGGTGCCCATGAGGTCCCTTTGGCTTCCCTAAATTTCCACTTTACTTACAGCTTTCAATCTCCAGGGAACACGTCTGCGTGTCCAGGGGAAAGCGACTAAAATCCATGTTGCACATTGCTGTTACTGTAACTCTAGGAATAATAAAAATCTCTCCATTAAAAACTTGTCTCCTTATGTGACTGAAAAATAGTAAAGCTGTGAGTTTGGGTTTTTATTAAACAAGTACAGCCAGCACCACACGACTGAAAATAAATTCCTTCCGTTCAGCTAAATCCATTCCACTTTAGTTAAAGCCATTTCTTCCTCTCAGCAAACTACTGTTAAAAAAGGTGCCTAGAAAATTAAGTCATTAGAAATTGCAATTATATGATAAAAGTATTGGAAAAGAAAATGAGAAAGGGCAAAAAGGACAACCCATCCCTCCCCCCGACAATCAGCAAAAATATCTGAAAGGCATCTGTCCTTTAAACAGATGTTTTATATGATAAAACAATTTGCATTTATCAAAGCCATCGTAGTGCCATGGGGGATGCAGGTAACTTCCTTGCACACGGTGAATTTCCAGCTGCTCAGTGGGAATCCAGTGATCACACAAGGGAATCAGCCACCAGATGGCACAGGGCTGGAGCTGTGAGAATGCAACAGGGATCACCGAAATGCTCTGGCCCATCAGTCAAAATCTCTGGCCTTGCTATAGTCTGATTATCACATTTTTAGTAGCATAATTTCATATTTGAACCAGAAGCAACCATAAATCTTGACTCGACTGGTTTGGACTCTAGAGAAGTAAATTAAAATAAAAGTATAAATCATATTGGGGAAAGAATAAGTTATAGAGGGGTTAGTAGTAGAGAGATATCTGTCACATAGCGATAAACACATAATGCAATCCCTTATGTTTGTAGTCCTTCTGCAAGCGTGGATTCTGTCTGATGTTGCTCTCCTGTCTGCATTTAGCCTTTGAGTGAAAGTGCTTGGCTCAAATGGAAATTTAGGTGCCAGTGAGGTCTATGCTGGTTTCCAAGATGAGGAAACAATGTCTGGCAAAGAACCCTTAAAAGGCAGACACCAAGGAAAAATACAGTCTGCAGGCAAAGGCATTCAGCAAGGCAGACAGCAGGAATGACCTGTTTGTTTTCACGGGGAGCCTTCGTCCTTCCCAGCATTCATGGAGCATTGCAACCTGCACTTGCTGCTGAATAAAATACTGAAACTCTACCTATTTGCCTCTGAAGGCATTCACCACCACTTCGTACCAGGCAATTGTTTAAGCACAAGGCTGTGGAGGATCTGAGTACTTTGATGTCCTCCTGTTCCCATCTTAGATAACCCTAAATGCTTGCAATGCAGAGGATTGGCTGCTAATTAAGTGTGTAGGCATGCATGCTATAGCTGAATATTATGTCATATTCTTGTCCTTTTTTATTGTACTCAGGACCTGGCCAAACTTTGCAAAGACCTAAAGAATACCTGAGCCTCGTCTAATCTGCTGAGTGACGAAAAATCTTTGATAATGAGAAGGTAGACAATGTTCAGGCTATGAATTCAAATGAACTGTAAGATAAAAATATCAAAGAACAAAAGAATTCTTGTCAAACTGATGCCCCGTGGGGAATCAAGAATTTCTTTGCTTGACTTTTTTGTATAGAATCATAAAACGCCTTGGCAGGCTGAGAAGTTACCCCCTCACCTTGTGGCAGGCTCAGCTTCACCTCTGCCAGTACCAACATTCCCTAAAGATCTCCACAGCCCTCACAAGCAGTGTATTCTGCAACTTTCTCTCTCACTAGTTAAATCTATGAGTCTTGCTGATACTGACCTCCTTTCAGTCAGGTTTTCCTTCTCTTTGTCCTTCAGAACATATTATCTATCATCTGATGCTTTATGTATTTCTCAGGTATTTTGTTATTTCATCACTGTAGAGACGATGTTGACATTCTTGCATCAGAATATAGCACAGAAATTTCCTTTCTAATAGGTTTTTATGGGTCCTCTGGCAGTACTTGTTTTCTAACTGGATGGAGCTGCAGCCAAGTAAAACAGAAGCACAGGTTTTTTTTTTTTTTTGATTGACAAATTGATTGTCTGAGTTAATTTTTTTTCACAGTAGTTAGTGTGGGAATATGTCTTGGATTTGTGCAGAAAGCAGTGTTAATAACACAGGGATATTTTCATCAATGCTGAGCAGGGCTTCCACAGCATCAAGGTCTTTTCTGCTTCTCAACCCCATCCCAAAAGGCAGGAGGTTGAGGATGCACAGGGAGTTTGGGGGGGTGACAGCTGATCCCAGCGGACCAAAAGGACATTCCACAGCATATGGCATCCTGCTCAGCATATGAAGTGGGGGAAGAAGAAGGAAAGGGTGGAAGTTAGGAGTAAAGGCATTTGTGTTTCCAAGTGACTTATGTGTGATGGAGCCCTGCTTTTCTGGGGGTGCCTTAACACCTGCCTGCCCTTGGGAAGTGGTGAATTAATTTCTTGATTTGCTTTGCCTGTGCATGGGGCTTTTGTTTACCTAATTATCTGCCTTTATCTCAGCCCACTAGGTTGTTTTGCCTTTTACTGTTCCAATTCTCTTCTCCCTCCCACCAGGAGGGAGTGAGCCAGCAGCTACATGAGGCTTAGTTGCCAGCTGGGGTTAAATCATGACACAGGTGCTCCTCACTTAGCATCTCCAAGCATGAAAGTGTTACTTATCACTATGAAATTTAAAAATCCCAGTTTAATAACATTCAGACTTATGTCAACTGATGAACTATTTGGAAAATAAGGGAGAAAGCAAGGGCTGGGACCATCCCTCAAGCCAGAAGACAAAGCAATGTTTACCAAAAATGTCTCCTGCAAGGACCTTGCATAGATTTGACATGAAAGGTGAGCAAAAAGCAGGAAGAGACAAACCAAGTGTTTGGGTTGCTCTAACCATACATGGGAGTCACCAGGAGCTATATATCCTTGCTCTGAAGCTTGTCACTTCATGTGCTGAAGGATGTCCCCTGTGTTTTTTTGCTTATTATAAAGTAGCACTTGGTATAATTTATACCTCTTCATTATTGCTTTCAAGAATAGAACCTGCACATTTTGCTTAGCCCAGAGACTTTGCTGTGTAGTGATATGGATAATTATAGCTTCCCTGGGCTTCTTTTTATTACCAGACACTGCCCTTTTATTTAGAATGTGCCCTGCCTCTTCAGCAGTGCCCCATGGGGATTGCAGCCTCCTAGCCCCCATGGAGCTGCTCCAAGGGACTGCCACGTCTGACTGCAGCTTCCCAAAAGGAACAAGGGTTAGCCATGCCCACAAGGTGAAGGGACAGTGATGGAACAAACAATGCTGGCACAGAAACTGTGCTTTCTACAGCAGGCACTTAAATGTACTCATCCAGGCACTCGGAGGTCTGTGGATAGCCAACACATTCATTCTTTTTTTATGCCTTTTTTTTGTATGAAGTCATGCAAAAACACAATATGGGAATCAATTAAGCCACTTTCTCTCTCCACTAATAGCTTGCATTGACCGAATGCAGTTTTACCTGAGGCTATAAAGTACCTTCCCATCTGGCTGGACCCGCAGCATGACATTGTCTGTGGTGGTGTCGTGGATGAAGGAGCGCTTGGAGTGCACGAAGAACATGTCAGGGACCCAGATCTTCTTCACCAGCCTGCCATCAAAGGTCATGCTCTGGTTGTTGGTGCTGGGGAAGGACAGCCTCTCGTCTTTCCAGTAGTGCCTCAGATAAAGCGTCATGGTGAAGTCCTGCAGCAAACAGGTTTCTGTCACAGCTTACACCTGATCAGCATAGCAGCGATTGCTCCTCTCTGGGACAAGGCATGAACTGTAAATCATCTCTCCTGAGGGTATATCCCCTCCCCAGCTGCCAGGGACAGCACCAGCTGCAGCTTGTTCATTGATCGGGTCAGAGAGATTCACTGGGTTCAGACACAACTCACTTCTCAAGCTTGAACTTAGTACACAATGAGTAACTCTGTCACTGATGTGTATTCGTTTAAAAAGCAAGTCATGATCTTGCTAAGCACCATGGCATTTTTCTGTAAAGCTTCAGGAGTTAAAAAGTATTGATTCTGAAAATGTAAAATCTTTTCCATTATTATTTTGCTAACAGCCAAAATCGATCCTGATTTTTTTTTAACCCAAGGCCATCTAGTGGTTTTCCCATGTTGATAAGTGTTGTAACATGACATCACAGGAGGAACAGGAGCAGTATTCAAAAGCCATGAGAACTAATTCAAGATCATAATGTTTGATTAGAAGAAAAAAAAAAAAAAAAAAAGAATGGGTTTGTTTTTTGGGTTTTGTTTGGTTTGGGGTTTGTTTTGGGGGTTTGGGTTTTTTCTTTAACTTCTAAGTCCTCAATGTTAATTCTTCCACTTTGCTTTCCAGTCCCAAAGCTTTTTAGGGGCCCTCTGGCCACCTTCACAAGCTTTCTCCTCAACCAGAACAGGTGAAAGCTCAGGATACCCATGGCTAGGTGTCAGGGTGCCAAGAGCACTGGAGTCAGGGAGTCAGCTGGAGGGGTCCCCAGTTCTGGGGAAACCCTGAGGTCAGATGACTGCAGATCTCCCAGCTTACACAAGAGCTGAAACAGCTGCAGTGAGAGGAGCCTGACATGCCACAGTGTGTCTGCCAACCACCAGATGTGCTACCACACACATGCCTCAGGCATGGGAAGAAGTCCAGTGCAGGCTCTTTAACCCTCTGTTAATGAGGAGCACAGAGAATCTGGGGCTTCCTGGGAAACCTTCAGAGCTGTTTGGTGATTTTGTTGAAAAGCCAAAACATTTTGAAAAATATTCTGTACTGGAGAGTGATATTTTTTTGTCTTCCAAAGCAAAACCTGAGTTACTGAGAGACATTGTGGGTTCTAGAATGTTTGGACTGGAAAAGTGCCCTTAAAGACCGTCTTGTTCCAACCCCCTGACATTGGCTTGCACTAAACCAAGTTGTTCAAAGCTCTCTCCAGCCTGACTTTGGATGGGATGGGGCATCTACAACTTCTCTGGGCAGTCTGTTCCAGTGCCTCACCACGCTCCAAGTAAAGAATTTCTTCCTTACGTCTGATCAAAACCTACCTTCTTTCAGTTCAAAGTCATTCTCCCTTTTCCTTGGGAGCTTTCTGGCCCCTGACTACCTCAGAACTTGTCCAAAGTGACACTATGTCTGCAGCATGTAAGTGCCTTAAAACGAACACATTCATTGCTCTCCTCGGAGTTTTTTACTGTGTTATCACTATTTAAGAAAATATGGAAACCCAAATCCATTGAAACGGTCTTGGCTATGTTTTGTCATTTTGCCCTAGAGAAAAGAAAATGTAAAATTTCTTCCTTCTGCTTCAAGGGCCGTGAAAGGGTAGCATGAGGTCAATAAAAGTAATTGTTGGCAGATTCTGATCAAACCTGAATCTGCATCTGGAGTGTTTGTCCTTGGCAGTATTCAAACCCCATGGACACAAACCCAGGTAGCCTGCAGAGTTTTAGTCTCCAGAGGTCCCATCTGTGACTTACCATGTCCACCTCAGAAATGCTGTCTAGACTTTCAACTTGGACATCCACTCCAACAGGAATTGCAGGGCCTAGGGAAAAAAATAAATTAGGAGTTCACAAAGTACAAACCTAGTGAGACAAAGCAATCCTCTGACTTTACTATCTTACAGGTAGAAATAGATGCTCAGTCTAAAATAGAAACAACAGTAAGCCAATAGAAAGTGTAAATGATTGGAATTGGCAACAAAAGTCTCCTAATAACAATTAAAGTCAGTAATGAGACTGACCCACTAATAACTTTCTCTTTTTATTGTGTCATCCTAAATTTGTCTCTTCAAAATTTAAAAGCTATTTTAATTGTTTTTATCTCTAGTGCTTGAGTCCAGGACTGGTGAGACGGATTACTGGAAGAGGATCCATTTGCAGAGAGAACAGTGGTGGACCAGCCAAGGGAATGTGGGAGATTTTCCCTCACTTTTGCTTGCCTTGCAGGCAAATAAATTCCATGAGAGATACTCTGTATATTTGACTTTCACAAGACTCAGTGGTCAGCTGTGGAAAAGAAAGGGTGACAGGAGGGGATACATTGCAGAACACAGACATGTGCCTTGGAGCCTGAGGCTCCTGAGGGGAAGAATCCAACTGTGACCCCATGTAATAGGGATTCTGAACTTTTTTCCCATCTCCAAGCTTTGGCTAGTCCCTCACATACCTCTGGCAATTACAGTCCAGGAGAACTGTCAAGTAAAATAATGTTCATGCTTGTGAACTGCTGTGAAACTGAAATGTTTTTAAATTAATTGAACATGCTGGTATTTGGTATATTGAGCATTTAGCGATAAAATCTTCTTTCATCAGAGTATATAATGGTATCCTGGATTTGAATGACCATCTGTCAGCCAGAAAGGGTAGATAAATTACAACATTCTCTAATCCCATGGGCTGAAAGAAAGCATGTTCTCCTCCGTCCATTTCCCTGAAAGCTTAGGTTGCTCTAGCACACAGCCACAAAAATGTGAGCAAGCATTAACACGGGCAGTCAAAATATTTTATTTAGGGTTATAAATTAATTAAGTGCAGTGTGTCATTTGATTATGCACACATATGGCCACTAAGACAAAAACTTAGATTTTCCCCTGTCATCCAGGAATAAACATAAGGTGTATTTGCAGATTTTTATCAGAGGAAAGTGTCACTGAGCACCAGGAATAATATATTGCCTGTTAATCACATTTCCATGCCTTTGACTATGCTTTTCGCTCATCCAGAAGGCTATTTCACTGAACCTCTATTCCCGAGAGTATTCACAACTCAAAAGAACAGAAGTTAGAGACAAAAAAGCCAATCTGCTTCTTCACTGCTGTACATGTTACAATATAAAGAAGTGACAGTGTAAAACAGGAACAGTGACAAATGTGCATGTTTCATACCTCCAAAACCTGGTCTCATGCTGAAGTCATGGTCATCTATTCGCAGCAGCTGCTCTGACTTCGTCAGGGGGGATTTGGTGATGTCAGGGCTTCGTTTTAAGATTGGGCTACCAGGGGGAGAGAAGCAGAGCTGTGAGCCCTGAGCAGTGCCTGCGAGAAGTACACGCTTGTTCCACTCCATTTCCTGCTCAGAACATCCACCCCTTAGACCATGACCCTGTGACTGCAGCAGAGGATGGCAGCTCGTCACTAAAAACTGATTCCTGCGCTCAGCATACAGTTTGGGCACCTGTGATAGCATTTGTTTGGTGGCTTTTTGTCCCTGTAAAATTCTCTCTGCATGCAGCAGTCTGGGGACAGTCATTAAAACGTGTGGGCTGGAGGAATAGCATGTGGGGATGAGTGGAGAGGGGGAGGCATTCCTGACATTGAGTTGTGATGGAGTGTGAGGCCAGGAATTAGGGAAACAATATATCAAATAAGTTACTGGCTGTTGCCCAGGAACAAAATGGAGACAGTCTGGGAACCAGGCCAGGAGGCAGGCCATTCCCTAACTTGGGACAAAATGATTAGCTTCTGCCCCAGATTTCCATCAAGGATAAAAAGCAACATTATAGACCTGGGAGGTCTCTGAGCATTAAAAATCCTGGGAGGGTAATTCCAGAAGCTATTGGAGTTGCACTGGATGCTGGACAGAGGAATCTCTGATCCCCTTCCACATCCAAAATACAAACTGCTGCTCAGTACCCCAGTGCTGTGGCTGGGATGGTGATGGCAGCAGCTCCTTGGATGCTCCCTCTTGTAGGGAAAGCCTTTGCTGCCCGCAGAACCAGCTGCACGCCAGCCACTTGGGTGGCAGAAGGGCTCAAAAAAAACAGGCAAGGTTTTGCTGGTTCTTGATTTTAGAAATCAGAGGCACTTGTCTGAATATACATAAAACAAGTAAGGAATAGATTCAAGGAGAGCAGGTGGACAAAGAAAATGGATGAGGAATATATTCCTGAGATAATGTTTCTCCTAAATGCTTAGCCATGCTGTACTTCTCAAAGACTTGTTGAAAGCTGTGCAACAAGAAGCCAATACAGCAATCTCCCAACAGAGGCCAGTGGTGGTGCCAGCGGCTCTCCTCTCTCAAATCTTTTATCTGGACTTCAAAGTATCTTAGAAAGATGCTTAGTCTAAGTTCAATAATTGCTAAGAGGTTTGAGTAGTCTACTTCCATCAGTGAGTTCTAGTCATGAATTATCCCTCAGGCACTTTAAAAGGTAGCCCTGCTTCTGCTTGAGATCTAGTTCAGCCTCTGAATGACCTGGGAGTGTACACTAGGGAAGGTTTATGCCTTTAGGCAGAGGAGCAATATTACCAGGACAGTGGCAAAGCAAACATTTGAGAGCAGGTCTGACTGTGCTCAGAAAGGTGCCTTCTCCCTGCCACTGGCAGTGGGAAGGACGAGTGGTATGATGGAGAGCCCATGGAAGGGGCTCAGCTCTGCAGAGGGGATTCCTGGAGGGAGGGCACCCACTGGCACAGCACAGGCAACACAAACTGTGCATCAGTGCCACACGAAGCCTGAGGGGACATGGCAATGGCCTGTCCCCCCTGAGGGTGTCAGGCAGTGGGGTTTCCACTGGGGGCTGCTGGATCCCACTGATGGCATGGCTAACACCTAAAGACAGCTGGCACGTCCTTCCCCCAGCCAGCCCAGCCAGGGGCATGTGGCTGACAGGCCTGGGCCAGCAGCAGCCCCCTGTGGGTTTTGCTTACCTGCCTTGCTTGTGCACCTCGCCATGGGCTTCCCGTCTCTGCCGCTGGGGCCGGCTGCAGGAAAACAAGGGATAAAGGGAGAGCTGAGACAGGTGGACACGGGCAGGAGGCTCAGGGTGTCAGGAGGGAGGCAGCAGATCCCTGCAGAGTTACCTTCTGTCACATGTGAGAAATGATGCTTACCTTTTTTATTTACATTTTATTTACACTTTCACCAAAGGCCACTGCCAGGCTGGGCATGGTAGAGGGTGGGGAGGATGCTCGGGCTCACAGTGGGGACAGGGCAAAAGGAGGGGAGCCATGATTTTCGTAAGGTGGGATGCCTCTCTTTTTGACTGTCTGGTAAAGTTCCCAGGCAGGTGGCTCAGGTCCCACCTGCCCAGCTTTGGCTGGCAACACCAGGGGCTTTGGAGACAGGAGCTGCCTGTGGTGGTGGGGGCACAGCCCTCACACCTACAGACCAGAGTCAGCCAGGTTTGTTCATGAGAAGAAAATATTTTCAAATTAGTTTCAGAGGGTGAAAGAAAAGGGAAAAACCTGTGAAAATTGTTTCTGGGTTTATACCGTGTCCCAGCTGGCTGTCAAGAAAGGTCTTCTCAGGTCTTTGGCCAATATTTGATTTGATCACTAAAGGCAAGAATATTGCTTTTGGCGATGTAAGCGCTAGTTTGAGCAAGAGTAACGTTTTAAACATTTAACAAGTTATCTTTTACTAAAAGTAAAAACATTAGTTTCTCTCTGTAATAAACGCTAACTCCAACTTACTAATGAGGTTTTCTGCCCACTAGCATACATTTCAAATGCCTCTGTAGAGATTTCCAGTGGCAAAACTCCTTTTGCAGTAATGGTTGTCAGCACCTGAGCACCATAATCCCTTTGGTGTGTAGTGGAGGAACCCCAGGCCTTGTGGGACAGTTCCTTTCTAGGCTGGGAACATTCCAAAAGCCAATAGTATGGAGGGAAATTAATCTTGCTGCTGCCCCAGAGAAGCAGACAATCAGGCCAGGCTTGGGCACGTGGGGCTGCTGCATTGACTCACCCTGAAATGAAGCACTGGATGAGTAGGATTTTTTCCTAGAATCTGCTCTGTGCTTCCCAGCCTAGGAAAAAGTGCACAGGCAAACCAGTGTTTGTGGGAGTCTTTGGGCCATGCAGCACCATTGCCATTACAAGAAACAGCTTCTGTGGCACTGCTTGGACCTGGGCATCACACAGCAAAACAATTGCAAATGCAAAATGCACTTTCTGGACGCTTCTGCCTTGTCCTAAACTCTTTGTGATATTTCTCTCTGCTGCCTGCTTCTCATCTACTGGCTGCCAGGAAGTAATTTCTCGTGTTTTGGGGATAAGCAGATTCTGGCAACAAGCTGACCGATTTACATGACTTTAAGTGCCCTAGTAAACTCTTAGCTGTTCAGGAATAATGCTGGTATTTGAACAGGGATGAAGCAGGCCATGTTCTTGCAATTTCTAATTTTAATTTCCTTTGTAGGTCTTATCTAATGCTACATAGTGGCTCTGTCCCTATTCTGCTTGTCAAGGGAGACTTCAAGGCATGGCCATCAAGGATTCATGACCAACTCATCCGCATTCTCTGCACTCAGCAACCCTGGCTGTTTCCTTTTATTTCCTCAAGATGTTTCTCTCTCTCCTCTAAAATTAGCTTTATTTCCATGTCACAAACAAGCATAAAATGCCCCCCATGCTCCATCCACGGCCGAGTACTGTGTTCATTTGAGCTTTGGTTTGGGTATTTTGCTTCTTTTTGCCAGCCTTGTTCCCCTTGTCACAGCTCTGTGGCAGCAAAACATTTTTACCTGTTACCCAGTTACTTTAATTTGAAGCCCCATTTCTTTTTACTCAATAAATATATTTTCTGCTCTGGTTCCTGGGGAGTCCTCTGCTGGCTCAGTGATCAATGGCAGTTCCATCATGGGACCCCATTACCCTGCCTGTCTGGGCTGTGAATCGATGAAAGCTGCTGTGGTTTCTGCTGTTTCTGGGTGTTTGCAGTCGACAGCCTCACCCAGGAGATTCAGCCCAGACATTGTGCACAGATTGCTGAGTGTCCCTCCTGCTTCACTGGGGTAGCAGGCTCCTTAAAACTAAACAACCATTCCTGAGGTAGAATACACTGAATAGTGAACAGCCCTTTTTTCTCCCCACATGATGTCAATATTTATCTCCTAGTAGTCACAATGCCTAAAGGTATTTCATGTCTCATGAAGCTCACAGAGATGCTTTGTGAAAAAGCAACCACTGGAGCAGAGTGGTATTTATTCACAGTGCTCCCTGTGCATTGCTAGAGTATCTCTTGGACCCCTGGCCCCAGATCTACCCACTGCTTCAAGGGATCCTGAGATGCCTCTGCCTCAAAATCTGAGGCTTACTGGGACTGGGAGGCAATGATGTGGCTGAAGCATAAGATAGCTGGGGAGGAAAATCAGCCAACCGAGCTTTTGATCACTTCTGCTACAGACACAATCAAAAAGCATTTTCTCTTTTTGTATTTCAAAGCATGATATATATCTATGTATGACTATATATGATATATAGTCACTTCAGCACAGCAAAAAGGGTTGCGGAGTAAGGATTAACAGTGTCTGATTTTCAGAAGAAACAGTCCAGCTATGACATCTGAAGGTCCCAGCAGGCATTTCCAAATGCCCAGCTTCATAGGACATGTGCCAGAGGAATGTCAGGTCCACACCTACAGTGTGCACCAGAAACCCCATAGTATTCTTCATCTTGGAAATAAGAACTTTTGGAAGCAACCAAAATGAGTGTGCGAGAGGTCATTACCCATCATAGCATTTTAGTTTGCAATTACTTCTATTCTCACAGACCTTTATAGTACCAATACACTTTTGTCAATCCCATGTTCATCCTGCCAAGACTTTGTTCCCTGTAGGGACTTGTGCTGCCTCCACTGCCCTCTCCTGCCTTGCCCAGATGAAATTTGATGGGAGGACCAAGCAGAACAGGGGTGCTGGCATTCCCCTGCCCATCCTGGCACCGTCTGTGCAGCACAGCAGGTGCAGGATGGGAAGCACAAGCTCTCCACCCCTGCTCACAGAGGGATGGGGGGCCAGAGCTGAGTGCATGAGGGACTTTCATCACTTTCTTTACTTTCCAATTAGGAGTCCTGCTGGAAACTGGCTCAACAAGCTCCATGTCTCCCATTGCCTTGCATCAGTGAGCAAGTCTGTGGATCAGCCTCATTGCAGTGCAGCATGTGCTGCAGAGCTCATATCTGACAAAATTAAGCTG